CCTGACGTTTTATAGGGAGACCCAAGTTCTGATGGAATGATAGGTTTCCATATTACACCCCAAGACGCACAACTTTAAGAAGTTTTAAAAATATTTTCCAAGCTTTTGACATGGCAATGGGTCTGTCAGCAGACCTATAGATTCAAAGTGGTAGCTCCTGAACTTAATTTAATGACCAAACGGACCAAGCAGGGTAGTCTTTCTTCTAGGAAGTCTTTCTTCTAGGAAGTTGTGTCCTTCTTCACCCAGATTGACCATAGCAAGTAGGGTTGAAGTTTGCTTCTTAAATGTTAAAAATTGTGTTGATGGGGGTGTAAAATACCTACATTTAAACAATGAAAAACAATTAATTCAACAAAGACCTATATTTGTGTCAAAGTCTGCTCCTTACATAATCTAGGTTTTAATCCTTTGTCAATATAATTTTTCGTATGGTACAGCAAAAGAAGACTTATCACAACAGTTTTTAAAAATGGCTATGTTTTAGCCCTTGATCAAGTGATTTTTTATATTGATATCAATCTGTCACTGGATAAAAACAATTCTTGCTATTCAACATCTAAATTATTCGAATCAATACCATTCCTCAAGCAAACTGAACCCAATCAACAGAGTAGGTAAAGGTGATGCTGAAGTGAGGAGAGTTCATGACTGTTCTGTACAAACTAATTTGTCATCATACAATAATCTTATGAAGGGATATACAGGAAGGTAAGGTACCTTTAATTAAGCTAATTTTTTTAGGAGGCAAGAGTGGTCACTAAGAGGATTATTCTTATAATTATGCTTACAAAAACTATTGCTGGCATTTTCTATCATCCATTGATATAAATTTTTGCTGTCTTTCTAAAAAATACCAGGGCACACTTCTGGAGCCACTAAAAAATGCAAGTCCACAGTCAAATCTCAACAGAATATATATTACTCATAAAAGGTCCTGCTTGTCTACGTTGGTCATGGTTATGATGTCACCGTAGCATGAAAACAGTTGTTCTCATGAATGGCATCATCAGTGCTTGTTCACTAATTCGGGTAATATTCTGGTGGGTAGCCAGGGAAGACAATGTTGAAAATGACGCATCCTCCGACAAAGAAAAGGAAAAAGAAAAGGTCAAGGATTCCCCCCCCAGACTGCCACGGGTAGAGCTTGTTGTCTGTCATAAAGCCGTGACTCATCATAAGACCTGGGGATTATTTTTGGTTAAGAGAGATTAGCAGCAATAGGTTTTTTCTAGTTAGTGTGTGTGTGCGGGAGGGGGGGAGTGTGTAGGGGTTGGACAAGAGGAGGGGAAATGGGGGAGTGTGTGTGGGTGGGTGGGGGTATGTGTGTGTGTGTATGTGTGTGTGAGATGATGATTGTAAATGTTTTTCGCGTCCATCAAGCAACTTAGTACAGACAACTCAACCTGAGTTGGATACAGCTTCCAAGCAAAAAGACAAGTATTGTAGCGACCCCTCTTCTTTTTTTCT